CTCTACGATTTACAAAATAAATAAGAATAACTATTTACTCGAAGCAAAAGTTAAACAAATTGGCCTCATCGTTCAGAAATCAACACATCGTGAAAATAACTATTTTATTCGAGACACCTTAAATCAAATTATTAACATTTATGAAATTATCGATTCTCTATTACAAGATATTGAAAACTCGTTAACATTTGCAAAATTAAAAATAATGCATCCAAGCATTATAAAACTAAATGATCTTTCAGTAGAACTAAAAACTCTCGAAAAGCTTATAACACCTAATCATTTACCTTTACCTACCACATTTATGAATATGTTTATGTACGAAAATGTTATTCATATTGACTGTTTTATATTAAACAATAAAATTACATACTTGTTAAGAGTACCAATAACAAACCCTATTAATTTCGATTATTTCCATTTGTATTCTATTCCCATAAAACATTAGAGTCTGTTTAAGGTTGTTATTCCTCGCGATAAGTATTTAATTAAAAACCAATTGCACTACACATATCAACAAGAACCATGCAAGAAAATACAGCCAAACACATTTCTTTGCAATAAAGAAGAGTGGAAAAAAACAAGTTGGAAAGGACAGTCCTTGCGAAGTGCAATTGCTGCAATCACCGAAATATACATCAGCATGCCGATAAGTTGACGCAAGCATCAAAGATCCCAATTAAATCAATTAGATGCAACAAATCAATGGTTATTGATATTTCCTGAAGATAATATGCTGAATCTTATATGCCGAAATCAACAAGAACACAAATCCCTATCAGGAACGTATTTAGTCACCATACCTACCGGATGTCTGCTGAAATCAAAAGACATCTCAATCACCAATAGCCAAACGGTTACGGAATCCAATAGACAACAACCAATCATCTTTCTCGACTTCGAAGAGAAGCAGCCAATTGAATTATTGCCCACATTGAATCTGAGTTTCCACCTTCAAGACGTCAAATTAGATGGACTTCACAAATTAAGAAACAAAATTGAAAACAACCACCCAAACTTGTTCTTCAATCAAATAACAAAAACCCCAAGCTTGTGGACAATTTTCGTTTACGTCGTTCTGTTCGTACTACTGCTATATGTGACGTAATGTTTAACGCAGACATAGCCATTTAAGAGCAGAGTTTTGTTTTTCAGAGTGAGCTTGCTTTTCTGGTTTAAGAGAGGGTACAGGGTGCCGGCTGTTTGGCTTCCTTTGGTGATTATTTTGTTAATGTGCTCAGCAAAGTTTAGTCTAGAATCGATGATAACACCAAGATATTTGAGAGATTTAGAAAGTGGGATTTCGGTGTTGTTGAGCATTAGTTTGGGTGTGTTAGTGGGAGGTCTTTGTCTCGAAATTATCATGGCTTTAGTTTTTTCTGCATTAATTTTGAATTTCCAGGTGTCAGCCCACTCTTGAAAAATGTGCCATACTTTATCGAAAGCTTTTTCTATGTTCAGACAGACGACTCGACGAGGCGTCAGGGGGGATTTGAATGTAGTCAATTTCGGTGAGGACGCTGTCGACCTCCTCCTCGAAATCTAGGTTGTCGTTTTCGGAAATGTTGGGCTAGAACTGGCGTTCAAGGGAGTCCGCAAAAGCTTCAGCTTTTTCTTCGTCCAAATAGACCACCCCTCGCACGCCATGTATTGGGGGAAAGTGCGTTTTTGTTTTTCCTCGCATAGCCTTGGAGATTTTCCAGGCGCGGGGGTCGCCCGTTGGGAGGTTTTCCAAAAGTTCTGTCCACCTTTTGTTTCTTAGGTTTGAGATCTGAATTTTGATTTCCTTGGTTAGTTTGTTTGCCTGTTTGTTAAGCTCTGAGTCGGTCAATTGTTTAATGAGAGTTTTGAGCTCAGGCGGCAGAGAGAAAGGGTTTTTGTTCGAATTTGGCTTTAGCATTGTGGTTTTTGAGAGTGC